GAACAAAAGTCATCATGGCAGTTATTTGAGATTTGACTTACTAGTCATATGGTGCGTAGCATCCTGGAGATGTTGTACGACAGGAGTTCCGCTCCGACTCTGCTGGGGTGCAGGCCATCAGCGCGAAAAAGCCTAGGACGCTCCCAGAAAAGATGGGTGAGTACGATCCATTTTTAATATATATATATATACAGTATATATGTATTTAATGCACTGGTGGTTGTGTGTATAATCCATCTGTGAGCCTTCTTTGCAGTGTTTTCCGGGACCTGTGTGTTTCTGTCCTTTTCTAGGGTAGGTCCTCGGTGAGCACCCCCCTCTGCTGGATTCAGAAACCGGGTGCTCGACTTGCAGTGTTTTCCTCACTCGTCGATGTTGTATCCAGCCGGTATGATAGCCCTGGTTTCGGCTTCATGCTTCCTGGATCATGCGGCCAGGTCACAGGCTTCTGCGGGAGCCTTCTTGATCATCAGGCCCCCGGCACTCTCCTGGATGTCCGGGCTGGGCTTATGCTTTCAGACTGCCCTGTCTGGTACGCCGTATCTAGGTCGCCCTGAGGGGCCTCCTGGTCACCAGGATATCCCCTCTTGCTGAAGCATCGAGCAGGAAGTATAGGTGGTATTTTCGAGAACCTTTTTGTGTAATGCTGTCTCAGGCAGTGCTCCCCTCGCCTTAGAGGGTTGTATTTGAGCTTGCCTCTCCCATTTGGCTCAGCACTTCCGGGTATCTGGCGCACTAGCGACTGACGCTAGAGGCTGCAGTCTTTATCCTCCTTGTTAGTGCATCCGACTCCCATGCAGGAGACCCACTCGGAACTAGAACAAGGTGTGGCGGTGAGGACCCGGGAGAGAGGGGTTACACTTATTTTATTTTTGTGATTATTTTTATGATTATTTTACTTTCTTTTATGTAAAGCACTTTGAATTACCATTGTGTACGAAATGTGCTATATAAATAAACTTGCCTTGCCTTGCCTAATCAGCCAATATTGTCTTAAATAGACTTATTCTTTTATAAGATGGGATTTTGACCAAATATATTCAATCTTGATTTTTGTAATGTACAATGTTGTTTTAAAGTGGGCGGGCAATATGCTAATGTTTCATGTTGATGTGAACATGAAACGGATTGGGATTTGTTTTAAAAACGACTCGTTTCAATGATTCAGAGTCAACTCTTTCTTTTGAGAGACAATAACTTTATACACGGTGCACTTTCAGATTTAAAACTTTGCAGGATGTTTTCATTCACTTAGAGCTGTGTTACACACTGCATGAAAGGTAATCATGAAAGGTTTCAAAAATCCATAATCAGGGCCCTTTAAAGTAACTACAAATGAGCATGTAAAACAAATATCTTTTGAAAAAATTCCATGTGAAGCATGCCCCCGGTTTTCACCTTTTTTCCCCCTTACCTGTTTTCATCTCTGGTTGTAGATCATTAAACCGTTATGTTGCCTCAAATTTTCAGTTTCATGAGGTGCCTTCGTGCAAAAACGCTGCCTTCAAAGTCATTACCTCATAAGGCAGCAAGTCAGCTGCCTAGGCTTTCGGACGCCGCCATTGTTTGAAATGACGAATTTGATGATGTAGCATGTTTCCTGCTTGTAATATTGAGCATACCTGTGTTGAGATAATTTTGCTTTATTTAAGTGTGTACAGATCTATGAGGATTAAATAAAAGTACTTTTAGAACAAGTGAGCATAGGAGTGGCCATCTAATAGTATTAGTCAATTACCTCTGTCTAATAACCAAGACTGGCTAGTATGTGACCGTGAGGTACGCTAACAGATGATGTGAAATCTCTGAGCGACTCCATAGATGCGGATGTTTGACCTGCGGTGAATTTGACCATTTCGGAGGTGGCAAAACCGGAAGTCCGAGTGTCGATAGAGTTTATTTTTAATATGCACAGTAGTAGTTATGGTTCTGTCTATGGTTATTTAATATGTTTAGTAATCTAAATGAAGTACTTATGCTCTAAGGATGCCTGATTATGCCTGATAGATGTTTTATCACTTTTCTGAAGAATCAATAATAGCATAGCATTTCAGCATACTTTAGATTTTGAAAATCTGTGTACTGTATTAATGCATTTAATAAAATGTTCTTACAAAATAGAACAGTTCTGGGAATCAATAATCCATTAACCAATTAAAAAAAACATAAGTGCACAATGATGGGTTCTGAAGTAAATCTATGAAAACATGCAAGTACATTTATATACATTTATATTTGCCTTTATTTATATAGTGCTTTATACAATACTGATTGTTTACATACAGATACAGGTACATACAGATCCACTATAAATCCACTATAGCTTAGATCTAGTTTAAAGTGCTCAGAATAGAATAATTTAATTTTTTACTTTCATTACTACTGATTAAGTAGCATCAGTAGCTACATTTATTCTTAAGTTGAGTCCTTAATTTGATCAGACGTGAAAGGCAAGATTCAGACCCGTCTGAATCAGTTATCTTGGTATGAGTGGTTAAGGTCAGATAAACCATGGAACCAGAAGTGACACCGCAACCAGGAACGAAGTAGTCAACATACTGATCCTGCTGCTGACTTCACCTGATGAAAATTCTGCATTAAAAGAGAAGAAAACAGACAGAAATGATAATTCGCTGACCTTTTGAAATATTGCCTAAAGCAAAAACACTGCAAGTTTTAACTCTAAAACTCCATGTGCATGTTCATATTAGCATTCATTCTCTGCGTGAAAAAATTCAATCTCATTATTGTGAATAACTGTTATTCCTGTCTGATGTTATTAGCGATAACGGATTTATCTTCTGAAATTTGTTTGTGAAAATACTAGGTTAATAAAAACCTAAAAGCGTACGATGTGGACGCGAGATTGTGTACTTTTGTTGTGCAATAACCTACACAATAATGCAAGGCAGTTTGACTTGATTCAATTTCAAATTTAATTCAATTTTGCATTTAATCTATTTAAACAAATATAGGGTTACCATTTATTTTGATAGTCCAGTTTTGACATTCTACTAACTACAAGTAATTTTGCAACTACATGTCAACTTGTTCTACTAACCGTAAAGGGTTAGTTCATCCAAAAATCAAAATTCTGTCATTAATTACTTACCCTTATATAGTTCCAAACCTGTAAAACATTCATCTTCGGAACACAAATTAAGATATTTTTGATGAAATCCGAGAGCTCTCTGACCCTGCATATACCCTTGCTGTCTATGCAGGGTCAGAAATCTCTTGGATTTCATCAAAATATCTTAATTTGTGTTCTGAAGATGAACGAAGGTCTGGAACGACACGAGGGTGAGTGATTAATGACTGAATTTTCATTTTTGGGTGAACTAACCCTTTAACATAAGAGTATATGAATACTCTAATGACAGTTCATTGACGTAGTTGCAAATTAATGATAGTTGACATGTAGTTGCAAAGTTACTTGTAGTTAGTAGAATGTCAAAAGTGGAACCAAAAAAGTGCACAGTTTCAATGCAAGAAATTCGGTTTTAATGTTTTAATTTCCCACTTTATTGGCAGGAATGAGTAAAATTATTTGCAGTCCGCACCAAAATTTTGTCTCTGCAAATTAATTTTTAATGAATTCAATTAAAACAAATTTTTAGGACATGCATACATGCTAATATCGCAGTATTTATCATCGATGCCCTATTCTGAAATTCAACAGATCTTGTATTTGAGAAAGTAGCCACAAAGATTAAATTAGCCAGTATATGACTGTTTCTGTGGATCTGTAAAAGTCTTCAATTTAACTTCATAAAACCCACAGAAACCCTGTACAATTCCAGTAAACAAAGAAGTAGCGAACCATGACTCTTGAACCTAGGCCCTCTCCCCCTAACTACCAGCCTAACTAGTTTATGGTGTCTTCTTATAAAAGTCAGCTTTAACAATTCCTAATCCAGCCTTAAGGCAGTCACACACTGAACACACTGTTCCCTTTCAGGAACTCGAGCTGCGTCGAAACGCTATGGGAACGCCTTCAGCGTGACCACGCTCGGAATCACGTGTGTAATCAGTCCAATGGATGGGCGAGACGTCACGGGCGGGGTGACGTAGAGACCAGGGAGCTTAAAAGCACATGCGGTGGAACCTTCTGTCATTCAGCAAGCGCTCTGTGTGTGTGTCAGTCGCTATTTGTTGTGAGTCTTATTTAGTGTTGCTTGTCCACTTATAAAGCTCCATTATGTCAAAGCTTCAGCCAAGAAGAAGCATTTGGGTGAGAGCAGGCAGCGTTCAGGCTGTGTGTTCCTCCCTGCCTGCGCTATATTTCGGGTGGGGAAACACACAGTTTGTATGTTGTCTGCTTGGGAGCGAAGCACGCAGAGTCAGCCCGCATTGCGAGCGTTTGTTACTGCGTATGCTTCGCTCTCAGAAGGCTCTCTTTGAGGAGGGAGACTTCACCAGCATTCCTCACGGTGCCGGCTCCGCTTTCGCCGAGGCGGAGTGGCGGCTGCGCTCGTAGGGTTCGCATATGGATCGAGCACCCGCTCTCTGGGATCGGAAGCCCGCACTGCGGTTCTTCCTCCTGGGGAGAGGGCTCGACGCTCCACCTGTCTTCCTCCGAGGAGGTTGATGTGGAGGGCGTCGATGACCTCGCCAGTTGCACAAGCACCAGTTGCACAAGCATATTATGTCTAATATTATAATGAGCAGCATTACTGGGGAGCGGAGCTCGCGCAATCAGCTCTCGGGGGGCTGATTGTGCTCTTTCTCGCTGCAAAATGCTCAGCTCTCGCCTGGCACGCTCCGAGGAGTGTGTCCGTGTCTGTGATCTTGCGGTTCTGGTCCTGCTGCTGCTGAGGCACGGCGACGATTAAGATCGCGGGGATCGCACATGATCTGGTGAACAGGTTGGACACGGGCTCTCCCTATCTCCACCCGCATTCCCTAGATCTAGCGCTCTCTCTCGGGGTTTGGAAGCCCGCGCTGTGGTTTCTTCCCCCTCTGAGTGAGAGCTCGCTGCTGCAGCTATCTTTCTCTGAAGAGATTGATATTGTTTTATAACCGAGCGGCTCGCTCGCTGTCGAGGCATCATTATCAGGTTTTTAATATGAATCGTATCACACCAGACCCTGTTTACTTGTCTGGTTGTTTGACTGCATTTAATTCTGAGAAATTAACTGAAGTATTTCATCTGACTATGAGAAGTTAGATATACAGGAGCTCTTGGGATGAAAATTTCTCGAGTGAGAGCATGTGTTTATCTCTCTTCCTCCGAGGAGGTTGAGGTGGTCAGCAAGGGCTGCTGGGCGGGAGCAGTCCCAACCTACCGTGTTCCAGCTCCTCATTCAGGGAGCGTCACTTCTCGTACTCCTCAGAACTTAGAGTCAGAGTGGCGCTCTGAAGGCGGGTCTGCGGACCGTCATTCTCACTGGATAGTCTTCGGCTAAAATGTCCTGAAGCCTAGGGCCCAGGACATCTGAGGGCCGGCCCCCTCTGGGGCAGAGCGGTGTACACCT